TACATTACACAATATTAAACAGTAATGGTCATACTGTTGATTGTGTTTACAGTAACATAGTAAAACCCCAGTAATGGTCATATTGATGATTGTGTTTACAGTAACATAGTAAAACCCCAGTAATGGTCATATTGATGATTGTGTTTACAGTAACATAGTAAAACCCCGGTAATGGTCATATTGATGATTGTGTTTACAGTAACATAGTAAAACCCCGGTAATGGTTTTACTGATGATTGTGTTTACAGTAACTTTTTTGTTTCAGATGAAGACTTGATCAAGTGGGGATGGCCAGAAGATGTGTGGTTTCATGTAGACAAAGTTTCTTCAGCTCACGTGTACTTGAGGCTCAGGCCTGTAAGTAAACATGGTGATAATCATTAATTGAATATGTTTTGTAAATATAACAAAGATAATTCTGTGTTTCAATGCAATAACTAAACCATCAGTTCTCAACCAGTAGGGTTTGCCCTCCTTGGGGATGCATCAAACCTTCCGGGGAAAGGGCACAAACATTTGAATGATGCTGTAATAAATTACAAAAATAATAATCTTGAAAAATAAAACTTATAGCTTAAGACGACTGAACTAATTTATGATGATGAAGTTAATTAAACTTATAGCTTAATACGACTAAACTAATTTATGACAATGAAGTTAATAAAACTTATAGTATAAGGCGACTGAACTAATTTATGACGATGAAGTTAATAGAACTTATAGCGTAAGATGACTGAATTAATTTATGACGATGAAGTTAATAGAACTTATAGCTTAAGACGACTGAACTAATTTATGATGATGAAGTTAATAAGACTTATAGCTTGAGACAACTCTGAACTAATTTATGTTGATGAAGTTAATAGAACTTATAGCTTAAGACGACTGAACTAATTTATGATGATGAAGTTAATAAAACTTATAGCTTAAGATGACTCTGAACTAATTTATAATGATGAAGTTATTGAAGTTTCTGTTATTCAAAATCAAACTCAATCTTCATTGGAACAGATGAGTAAGACTTAATGTTCAATAAAACCCTGAATTAATTCCTACCAAGAAAATAATGAAGTTTCTGTTATTCAGAATCAAACTCTAGATGACATTCCAAGCAAGGTTCTTGAAGACTGTGCTCAACTTGTGAAAGCTAACAGCATCCAAGGTATTGGTTTTATTGTTACTGTTTCCATTAAAGACTACGATTCATAGAAGTTTGAGATTACTTTAGAAGATTATTGTACTTAATTATCTTTCAAATATCTTCAAAAAACTTTAATATGCTCAGCCTTCTTTTATACTGAGGTCCCTTGGTGGTTTAGCAAAAAAATTCCAGACTTACAATACTAAAATGTGCGGTTCAATTCCTTACAGTGAACAGAGTGCAGATAACCTTTTGTGTAGCTTTGCACTAAAAAAACAATGAAAACACTACCAGTGAGAGTCCCTCTGTTGCATAAGAAAAGAATTCATCCATCAACCAATGTGAGGGAATTAAACAGGAAGAAACCTTACCTGAGACCCTTCATTTGCCTCTATCCTGGCTCTCAGAGAGAACTCCCATTTTTCTGATGATTTGTTTTCAAGTTCCAGAATGAAAGATGTCGATAATCTAGGGTTTATGTTACATAAATGTATGGCAAACATTGATAATTACATGTTTTATGTTGCTCAGGATGAACCTAAGTGTTACCATTTGTTTATGTATTATGTTACTGGAAAATAATATTAATAAGTATGTTTTATGTTGCTAGGCAATAAGACGAACGTAAATGTTAACAGTTGTTTTATTTTACTAGGAAATAAGATGAATAATGTGGATGTTGTATACACAATGTGGGAGAATCTAAAAAAGACTCAAGGAATGGAAGTTGGTCAAGTGGGGTTCCACAAACAGAAGTTGGTATGAGAATTTTCTGGTCTAGCACTGTTCAAGCATAACTTAAGCTTTATACTCATCATGTGATTTCATTAGTTGTATTCTTAACAATTAATAGTTTTATAGCAAATAGAATTCTATGCTTTGTTTACTGGCAAGACTGTGTAGAATCTAACTTTGCAAGTTACACTAAATAAGTATTACAGAACGATAAAATTATTTTTAGAATACTTATGAATAAAAAATTGTTAAAATAGAGTTTTTGAAATTTGATATGCAGATGTGCACTTGACACCTTATTGGGCTCACTGGATGTGATAGGGTTAACATGAAATGGTGATTCAAGATCATTTAACCCTATGTGCACAGGACCAGTTAATTGGACTGATGTTGTATCGCAGTATTAATTTAATATATAAAACTTGGCAGGCTTTTACTAAACATGAAATGTCTGTTATACATAAAAATTCAGAATTTTTAATAAAGTGTTTCTAGTAAAGTTGTGTCTAAGAATTTATGAAGCCTTTACTGAGCCAGTCTAAGTAGACGGTGATTTTCATAGGAATACAAATACATCTTTTCATATTTTATTTGCATAACCTCTAGGATCTCCAAAATGAATATCAAAAGTTGTTTTTATGTAAAACTTGATATTTTTCTCGGAAATTAACACTAACTGTAATGAAATGATCTATAGCAAAAGTTGAAAAATATGAAATGAAAGCAGAATACTTTTTTTATTGTTTTTACAATTGTTTGTTATAAAAATTTAAATTATCTTTTCTTTTAATTTTACTGCTCTAACTAAACAATAAATCACCTGGTGGTATTACATTGAGTTAACTCGCATGGATTGTGGGTAGTTTTCATGTATTCCTCTTGAAAAACATTGTCTTATGTAACCTAATATGTTTCTAATTTTTACACTGTTGTTACTTTTGTAACATTAAGTAAAAGATATACATAAAAATCAAATTTTGTCCTTACTTTAGCCTTGAGACTTTCTGCACTCAGGTTCATTATTTAATAAGCCTGCTTTTTTTCTCACAATGTTGGTTGTACCAAAAATAATTAATATAACTTTCAAATATATATTTTAGAAAACAGAACATACAGCAGACACTGATATCCAAAAAACTACTAAAATTTACGTGGATTTCTAGCTAAGCTATAAATAGGTTAGAAAATTTCATTACTTCTACGAGCAATATCTTTAGTCCAAACACATTAAGCTATTATACAAATTAATAGCTTTTGGTGCTAAAACCAAAAAGATCTATGTAATGTGCGATTTACTCTTTCTTTTGGTTATAAACGTATACAGTAGCAAAATGGCAGAGAGATTCTGGAAGATATGGGAGGGGTGTGTCAGTGTAGGTTGAAAAAATATTGTGAAATCTCAGTAAAGCAAGAAAATTGGCTGAACAGTCTTGTAAGGGAGAGAAAAGAAAGTCTATAAGTAAGAAGTCATGTGACTGGAGAGGTGAGAAGTTATTTGAATATATATAAAACAAAAATTTAATTATAAACTATATTTTGATGCCAAGCTTATTGACATACATTGGTGATAAATTAGTGAAATTAATTTTTGATTGTAACTCTATAAAAAAAAAGTTGTGACATGCACACTTTTACCCATCAATAAACATAATATTAATAGGTGTTATTTTTTACTCTGCTAATCAAAGTGTTAACTTGATTGTGTGTAGGTTCAAAGCATTCGTGTAGAGAAGAGAATGAATGAAATAGTAAATAGGTTAAACAAGACGAAAGAAGAAAGACATCCTAATCTTCAAGCTGAAAGAGAAGAGAGAGACAGAATAGAAAGGGAGGACAAGAAAAAAATACTACGAGAACAGAAAGAGAGAGAAAAGGAAGAAGAAAAGAGAAAAAAAGAAGCAGCAGAACTAAGGTAAGTTTACTTTTCTCATTGTGTGTGTGTGTGTAATAAATAGATTGTTGTTAAACTGAGAGTAATTTAAATTTATTGTGTGTGTGTAATAAATAGATTGCTGTTATACTGAGAGTAATTTAAATTTATGTAACGTATTGAATGTGTTTTGATACAGATATATGAGAGGTATAAAACAGATATGTCTCTCTGATGAATGTCATATTCCATTTAAAACTCAGTCTTTGCTGAGGTAGATGTTCCCGATGGTATGAGTACATCTTACTTCACCCACAATGTTGACCATGCATTTAACACACTATGACACATTTTAAATCAGATCACTTTGGCTCACCAGAGAATTGATTAACATAATGTACACAAGCTGATGTTGAGTGGAGAAGGTATGTTGACCATAATTCCAAATTTACTGAGTGAATCTATACAAAATGTGTGACAAGTGTTTATTTGTATAACACAAAAAAATTAGATTTGTTACAAAAGTATTTGTAATCAAAGTATGTCTGCCAACCTCAGTCTGACAAGTCGGAGTGCATGGTGACTTTTGTCCATCATATAGTTTTTATATTTGTGTATCCTCTAGAAGATGTGAAATCATGGTACAGGTTTTTCTGTATCCCAGTATATTGTATCTGGTACTTACTGTCCTCTGTCATGCACGAACGGTCATTAAATCAGCAACGTAGAGAAAATGACTGACCGATAAATGTTGCTATCAAATATGTAATACCTTGAATGGTAATATATAAATGGTCATGACATGTATTTTGATCCTACCTATGCACATAGGGTTAATGACAAGATGCATTGTAGAAGACTGTCCACTAATTACTGGTATAAAGCTGGTGGTATTGTGCTCTACACCTTCTTTAAAGCATTAGTAAGCTCCACTACTGAAGAGGGTCATATTGGCCTTGTCCTAATTCTGCATTCCATTCATCCCAAAGATGTTCTATCAGGTTGACGTTCTGTGCTGCCTTCCTCCATACCCAAACACGTCCATCAGACTTGAAGAGCGTGAATTGTAACTGGTTGCACCACATGACCGATTTCCATTGATCCAGGTTAGGTGTGCCTTGCACCATGCCAATCAACAGTGTACATTTGTTTTTGTTATCAACGGCTTGTGGGTTGCAGCTCTTCTGTGAAAATTCATAGCTTGCAGCCTTTGACGTGTCGTAGAAACAATTATAGGGATGCCTGTGGCTGCTCGCATCTCCAAACACAGATTCTTTAGGATCTGATGGTCAGATGAGGTAACCAGCCTTCTCAAGGCCAGTCGGCTCCTGTCAGTCAGTATTTTATGTATCTAGTCATTTCTTGGGCGCATTGTCACCTGTGGACTTCCATTTCTTCAGCTCGTTGCCAATTGTCGACCCGGGAATTTTTAATTGTTGCACAATAGTAAGTACAGACATTTTCCCCATATGACATCCAACTATTCTTCCCCTCTGAAACTCTGTTAGCTCTTTCTTTGTACTCAGTGTTTGGTGTACAAGTTCGAAATGACTTCCGATTGAACCACTGATCACCTTTATAGGCCAAACTACTTGCCTGTTTCTTTGTCACACCAATTTTCCTGCAATCAGAGGCATGTCCCATGACTTTTGGTAGTATAGTGTGTACATATAGATAGAGAACAGGTAAATGACTAGATATATATATAAACAACTGATACATTTGATGGAAAATGAAGTCTGATAATGAATAGTAGAGCAATGGCAACAGTTGTAAACATCTTTAATGAATGTTTCGGAATTAAACATATTCCACCTTCGGCAACTCTATGAAAATGACAAATGGAACAATTACTAATATAAAAATACAATGAATAGTGTTAGAAAAATTATAAAACATTCAATTGAAGAAAAAGGGTGAGGGAGCTATTTGAATAAAGCAAGGGGGAATGAGTTTGAATGTCCTTTGCTTTATTGTAACGTGCATTTATAAGTTTTTAAGAACCTTTTTTATGTGTGGTTATGCCTATGAGCAGCAATTACACTGATTGGTGACACCTAAATTAGTCAATTACACTGATTGGTGACACCTAAACTAGTCAATTACACTGATTGGTGACACATAACTTAATCAATTACACTGATTGGTGACACCTAAATTAGTCAATTACAGTTATCGGTGACACCTAAACTAGTCAGTTACACGGATTGGTGACACATAACCTAGTCAATTATACTTATTGGTGACACCTAAATTAATCAATTACACTGATTGGTGACACCTAAATTAATTAATTACACTGATTGGTGACACCTAAATTAATCAATTACACTGATTGGTGACACCTAAATTAATCAATTACAGTTATCGGTGACACCTAAACTAGTCAGTTACACTGATTGGTGACACATAAACTAGTCAATTACACTGATTGGTGACACTAAACTAGTCAATTACACTGATTGGTGAAACATAAATTAATCAATTATACTGATTGGTGACACCTAAATTAATCATTTCCACTGATTGGTGACACCTAAACTAGTCAGTTACACTGAATGGTGACACCTAAACTAGTCAGTTACACTGATTGGTGACACATAAACTAGTCAATTACACTGAATGGTGACACCTAAACTAGTCAGTTACACTGATTGGTGACACATAAACTAGTCAATTACACTGATTGGTGACACCTAAATTAGTCAATTACACTGGTTGGGACAATATAATTCATTTAATTAAGAATTACTTTCAATAGATGACAGTAATATCAAGATGGTTTATGAAGAACTAAATCCTTAAGGGCCCTTTTTTTTTAGGGGAAAGATTTTTTGAAGGAAAGAAAGGAGGGAGATAAAAAAATAAATAAATTGTTGGTAGTTTTATTTTACTTGCTTAATTATACCCCAGCTATACAGTAGGTTATAGATTTTGGAGAGAGAGTACAAGTTTTAATGTAAATTGTAATCTTTCCAGAGCCATTTGAATGGCTAGGGTTAAGATGGTTAAACAGATCATGAATAACAGATTTTGGAGAATATTCCTTGTGAAACATGATATAAGTATGGTTTTAGGATTAAATTAATCTGTAACTAAAAGGATTTAGGTGTTCTTTGTTAAATTTTTTATTTTTTTTCAGAAATTACTCGTCACTAATGAAACCTGAAAATATGACATCAAATAGGGTAAGGAAAATCTCAAATTTATATTTCATTATTTTTATACTGAGTTCTTATAGACCAACAATACTCATGCAACAACATTTTTGATTTTTTTAAGGCTTAGCTTTGTTGGAAGAAATACTTTAAAAATACAGCTATGTATAAAAAAAAAGACAGGATAACTGACTAATAACTTCTAAAGTTTAAAAATATTTCTGAAGAAAAACTAAGGCTAAGCAAAACTTAAACCCATTTCATTTTTATTATGTCTTAATGTTCACTTCAAGTTACAGAGTTTTATAGGACTTTAGGGCAGAAACAGTGTTGCAGGTTATAATCCTACCTGGCAGGACTTTAGGGCAGAAACAATGTTGAAGGTTATAATCCTACCTGACAGGACTTTAGGGCTAACAATGTTGCAATTTATAATCCTACCTGACAGGACTTTGAGGCTAAGCAGTGTTGAAGGTTATAATCTTACCTAGCAGGACTTTAGGGCTAAGCAATGTTGAAGGTTATAATCTTACCTAGCAGGACTTTAGGGCTAAGCAGTGTTGAAGGTTATAAGCCTACCTGGTAGGACTGTAAAGCTAAGCGGAGTTCAATGTTATATTCCTACCTGGCAGGACTATTAAACAGTTAGTGAAGAACCACATTAAATGGAACAACCAGTTAGAATTCTTGATATTAAAGAAACCAGTTTTGTCACAATCATGCATTCTCATCAATATTAATAATAGTGAATAGCATATCTGTTTATAGTCACAAGCATACTTTTAGCAGATAAACTGTTTAATATGTTAATAACTTAATATTGTGTACCTAATTCTAGTAACAAGCATACTATTATCATGTGTGCTAATATCTTGATGATTGTGTTTACAGTAACATAGTAAAACCCCAGTAATGGTCATATTGATGATTGTGTTTACAGTAACATAGTAAAACCCTATGACAATTACTGGGGTTTTACTATGTTACTGTAAACACAATCATCAGTATGACCATTACTGGGGTTTTACTATGTTACTGTAAACACAATCATCAATATGACCATTACTGGGGTTTTACTATGTTACTGTAAACACAATCATCAATATGACCATTACTGGGGTTTTACTATGTTACTGTAAACACAATCATCAATATGACCATTACT